AAAAAAAAAAAAAAAAAAAAAAGAACAGAGCTGTCAGGCACTTCATGACACGGTCAGGGAGCAGTCTCTCGAATGCTCTCTCCAGGACAGCCAAGTTGCCTTTTAGATTCCTTTCTGCTCCTGACTCTGAATTATTTTGTCAGTTTTTGTAGCAGTAGTTACTAAGGAGAAGTTCTGTCTCATGTTCCTCACTCTGTTCATACTTTTTCTCTGCTTTCTGGATTCATGGGGATTCAGTTCCTGAATTAATTTATGCCTTTTGGTTCTACCATTGTCCACATATATCTGAAGTTAAGGACATGGTGCCCCTTTTCTCCTTGGCCTGCTGCCTCTCAGCAGTTGCCCAAGTCTGTGCTACAGCTGCCTTACTTACCCCCTGTTTGAACTTGTCCTAGATTGTGTTTGGTCCTGGGGTTGGACACAAGATGGGGGGAAATGGAGTACAACCGTTGCTCATTTTCCAAAGTCTCCCCTCCCTCCAACAGATTACTACTTAAAACAAAGTGAAAGGTGACTTTACAGTGGAAAAATCTAGTAAATGCCATCCTAATCAAATGATCAAATTTATCCTCATCAATGATGGACAGACTGAAGCATTGCCTTTTGATGTGATGTTCTGAAAAGGGCCACAAGATCACCCAAATAATACTCCTGTCAAAACGTTTACCTGCTCTAACCATGAGCAAACATTCAGACAAAACCAAATTGAAAGACATTGTGTAAAACAGCTGACATGGATTCTTCCAAAAGTCAGATGTCGTGAAGAATAGATAGCTAACAGATCCAGACATTTGCTTAACAGAGACAAAAGAGAGATCACAACTACCCGGTGTGATCATTGATTGGACCCTGAATTTAAGCAACTTAACAAACAAAACAACATGTAAATGATGTTATTGGAGTAACTGGGAGAGTTTGAATATGGACTGTATACTAGATAGTGGTGTTGAACTCACGTTTGGCTTCCTGAGTTGACCACTGTGGTTATGAAGGAGATGGTACTTGTTCTTAGGACATATACACGGAAGTCCTTAGGAGGAAAGTGTCCCAGTGTGACAGTGGTTCAGGAAAATATCTAGGCTTTACCTTTGTGTGTGTGTGTCATGTGTGGGAGTCCATATATTTAAAGAGAGAGATATATAAAGTAAATTTGGGAAAATCTTAACAATTGATAAGTCAGAGTAGAAGATACAAGGTTGTTCATTATACTGTTGTCACTTTCTCTAATTTTGAATTTTTTCAACATCAAGTTGAGAAATTTTCTAAATAGTAAAAAAATTCTGAATAGTAAAAAAAAGTAAATAAAGTAAACTTACAGACTGAGAGATAGTATTTGCAGAATGTGTGGTACAGGATAGATTTCCTTAATATATAAAAACAGTGAGAAAAATTTTATTAATTCAGTAGGACCGTAGGCAACAGGACAGACAAGCAGTTTGCACTCAACATGTGAAGAAATGTTCAACCTCACTCACAAGAAGAAGCATGCAAGTAAAACCTAGATAAAATATTACTCTCACTTATCAGACTAGCAAAGCTTAAAAAGATTTGTACCACACTGTGAGTTTGAGATGTCACAGGGATGAGGCAGTGGGGACTTACATATTGATGTAAACTGGCATGACCTCTCTGGAGGGCGATAGGGGTTAAAATTTTAAATTCAGGGCCGGCCCGGTGGCGCACTGGAGAGTGCGCGGCTTGGGAGCACGGCGGCGCTGCCGCCGAGGGTTCGGATCCCATGTGGAGACCGGTTCCCGCTCACTGGCTGAGCGCGGTGCAGGTGCAACACCGAGGGCGTAATAACTTCGTATAGCATACATTATACGAAGTTATCGCACTTCTGCCAGGCTGTGCTGCTCCACCGTTACATATTATGCTTGTCTTAAGAATCGGTCTTCTTTGGGCCGGCCCGGTGGCGCACTGCTACAGTGCGCCGCTTGGGAGCACGGCGGCGCTGCCGCCGAGGGTTCGGATCCCATGTGGAGACCGGTTCCCGCTCACTGGCTGAGCGCGGTGCGGGCGTGACACCGAGGGTTGTGATCCCGTTACCAGTCCCCGGTACGGGCACGACACCGAGGGTTGCGATCCCGTTACCGGTCAGTAAAAAAAGACAAAAAGGAAAAAAATAAAAATAAAAAAATTTTAAATTCACCCTTTCCACTTCTAGGGATTTATCCCAAACATACACCTGTATAGGTGCACAAAGAAATACTTATAAGTATATCTGCTATTGTCTTGTTTGTAATAGTACAAGATTGGTAACAATTTAAGTGTCCATTAATGGGGACTGGTCAGAAAAAGGACAGTATATCCGTGTAGTGAGCAGCTGTATGTGCAGTTGTACAAAGAATGAGGCAACTTCAGAAGTACTGCATAGAGAAGGCCAAGCTCTATCATGCATTTTTAAGTGAAGAAAACAAGGTGCTAAACAATTTATAATGTACCAAAACTTGTTTTCTAAAAGGAGGGCCTGGGAGCTTGTTATTTGGATTTTTTTTACTTTGTGATAATTCATCAAGCAGAACATTTATGGTTTATGTATTTTTCTATATACAACGTGTGTGTGTATATATACATGTACATACATACGTACATATAGTTTACCCCAGAAAATCCCAAGAAGGGAGGAAACAATAGATACACATATGTTTATATATACAGAAAGTGTTTCTGGAAGGATATACAGGAAGCTGTTAACATTGGCTGCCAGGGGAGAAGGTCACTGGGGGATAGAGATAGGATAAAGGCTTTCTGTGTATTATTTTTTCTACATATGTTTGTTTTTCTACATATGTTTGTTTCTCTACATATATTACCTATTGTAGGAAGTAAGGAGTTTTTAATGAAAATTTTATAATAACATAGGAAATACTTATAAATGATAGCAGCAGGGTACAGATTTGTGGTAGGACTCCAGCTATATACATCTTTATCTAACATGTATTTTAAAAAAGAATGAGAGGAAATAGAAAGATAGAAATTACCAGATTTTTTTCAGGGGATGAAACTATGAATTTTCTTTTCTCTCTATTTTTCTGTATTTTCCAAGTGTTTTGTAATATTTTCCTGATTGACAAAAATATGACTAACCCTTTTTTAAATGTGAGATACCACCCTTTATAAAAGTTACATGGGATTGTGCTCTGCCACCAGCCCTTGTCTCACTCACTGTAGAAAATTTCACAGATATTATTGTTCTATTACTCATCAGTACATAAATAACAAGAGGCATTCGGTGTATAAGATGTGGCCCACGTTACATCATTCTAAAAGGAGCAGGTGTCATTACACAGAAGGAACAATCCAGAAGGAAAAGAAAAGTATGCCACCCACCTGCTGTGCAGTCCTTTCTTTCTACTCTTTTCCAGTGGCCATAGTGTGGTGTAGTTTTGTTTTCTTAGTAAGGTGTCCTGGACTATTTCAGTCAGTCAGTATCTCATGATACTCTTTTTGCTCTTTATTTTTTTTAAGAGTAACTGCACAAAGACTTGCCCACCTGAATAAGTGCTTGATGAACTTCAAGCTAGGGAATTTCAGCTATCAGAAAAACCCTCTGAAATTGGGAGAGCTTCAAGGAAATCACTTCACTGTTGTTCTCAGGTAAAGAACTGCAGGTGGGAATGCAGACCAGAGCGGGTCTTGCCAGGTCATTTTGAGTCTTTGTGACAGTCGATAATAACATCCAGGTTAGCTGGTGCTAGCAGGAGTGACAGCAAGAGAAGGCAGAGCAGGGCCTGACAGTGCTGGGAGAGCAAATGCTTCTGTAGTCTTTGTACTGACACCTTCACCTCTCTAAAAACCTAGCACAATCTTTGTAAAGACACCGCCTCCTTCAAATACTGTGTTAAAAGACCAAGAGTCCATGATTCCACTTATATGCAGTACCTAGGATAGGCAAATTCACAGATACAGACGGTAGAATAGAGGTTACTGGGGGCAAGGAGGGAATGAAGAATTACTGTTTAATGGTACAGAGTTCAGTTTGGGAAGATGAAAAAGACTGCGAAGTAAGATAGTGGTGAAGGCTGCACAACATGGTGAATGTACTTAATGCCACTGAATTGTACACTTGGAAATGACCACAATAGTAAATTTAATGTTATATATATTTTAATGCAATTAGAAAAAAAAGAACAGAGAGCCCTCAGGAGGTAGAGAGAAAGCTGCAGGGGAGCAAGGGAGAGACATGGAAGCCAAGCCAGAGTAATTCACAATACACGTTCCTGAATGTATTTGACTGTAATTTTTTTCTTTTAATAATTTGGACCCCTGCAGAAATATAACAGGAACTGATGACCAAGTACAACAAGCCATGAACTCTCTCAAGGAGATTGGATTTATTAACTACTATGGAATGCAAAGATTTGGAACTACATCTGTCCCTACATATCAAGTCGGAAGGTTTGTATTTAATTTCTTAACTTTTATCTAAAAGAGCTCCCATGAAAAAGAAGCAGGGTTTTTTGTTGGTGGTGTTTTTAGTTATTTCTAGATTCCCCCATGTCTGGGGGAAATGAACCACTGTGTCTCGTCCTTTTGGACAACCAACTTATCCACAGCCTCCTTTTAATTTTTGTTCTATGTTAAGATCATGCACAAGATAAAAACTCAGAGTTCAAAAAGGTATAACCTGAAAAGTAAGTTTTTCTCCCATCCTTGATAGCCCATCTAGGGGTTCTATTCTTCTTTTCTTTTCAAAAGGTAAATCTTGGGTCAGTAAGTGACCCAAAAATAAACATTTTCGTGACTCAGACCCAGAGTAGCCAGATAGATAATGCGCTTTATGAGCTCCGTTAACAAGTGATTCAACTTTGATCTACCCTTCCCCCATCCCTTAAAGAAAGTGGTAGAGAATATAATTAGTGAGGTGGAATGTATTTTAAAAACTCTGATTCACTTTTAGATGATAGGAAACCCCTCTAGGGTAAGCTAGGGTGGGAATGCCATCAATAAATACTTGGGTTCATAAACCTACTTATGGAATCCTGTTGCCCAGGAGAGACTATGTTACATAAATTACTAATATGAGAGTTAAAATTGTCATAGTTCCGTACAACTTGGAAGTGATCTAAGAGTTCATGTTCTTCCTTGTGTTTTAGACCCTCCGTTTTAGCAAAGATGGAACTTGGGCTTAGGGAAGGCTGCCCAAGCTCAGTAATTGGTCAGCTATAAAAACTCTTAGAAGAAAACATAGGAGGAAAGCTTCGTGATTTTGGATTTGCCAATTGTATCTTGGATATGACACCAAAAGCACAGACAACAAACAGAAGAAAAAAAAGATGAGTTACTTTATCAAAATTAAAAATGTTTAAAACAGGGGCCGGCCCGGTGGCGCACTGCTACAGTGCGCCGCTTGGGAGCGCGGCGGCGCTCCCGCCGAGGGTTCGGATCCCACATACAGACCAGTTCCCGCTCACTGGCTGGACGAGGTGCGGACGCGACACCGAGGGTTGCGATCCCGTTGCTGGTCCCGTTCCGGTACGGGCACGACACTGAGGGTTGCGATCTGTTGCCGGACACGAAAAAAGACAAAAAGGAAAAAAAAAATGTTTAAAACATTTATGCATCAAAGGACACTGTCAATAGAATGAAAAGGCAGCCTATAGAATAGGAGAAAATATTTGCAAATCATAGATCTGATGAGGGACTTGTATCTAGAATATATAAAGAGCTTTTACAACTCAACAACAACCAAAAAACAATTCAAAATGTTCAAAGGACTTGAATAGACATTTCTCCAAAGATATACAAATGTCTAATAAGCATGACTCGATGACCAGAAATCTTAGAAGAAAAAATTTTAGATATATAAATAAAATGTAACTTTAGTGTGGCAAAAGATAATATAATAAAACTTAAAGGAAAAATTACATACACTTATAGATGCAGCAGAAAGGTAAAAAACACTCAAGTGTTAACAGTGTTTAATTTGGGTAACAAGTAACCTTTCTTTATTGTACTGTTTAATTTTTAGCAAACATAACTTTTATAATCATCAAAAATAAAGATATGGGGGCCGGCCCGGTGGCGCACTGCTACAGTGCGCCGCTTGAGAAGCGCGGCGGCGCTCCCGCCCGAGGGTTCGGATCCCACATACAGACCGGTTCCCGCTCACTGGCTGAGCGAGGTGCGGGCGCGACACCGAGGGTTGCAATCCCATTGCCAGTCCCGGTCTGGTATGGGCGCGACGCTGAGGGTTGCGATCCGTTGCCGGACACGAAAAAAGACAAAAAGGAAAAAAAAAAAAAAGATATTTCCATTTTGGCAAGAATAATAAACAAGGATAAATTATATTTACTCTCTGTTTACATAGGCAAGAAGGTATATATCATAAAGGGAGAAATTATTTGAGAAGTTTCAAACAAATTGTGACTCTTGAAGACTTACCTTTGATTTATATAGTTAATACTGTGTATAACAACTTAATGCATGATTAGGTATTTGTACTGTTAATAGCATTTTAAAGCTGTGAAATGATATTAAATGTTATGAGTAAGCATTATATTCTTAATTTTATGCTTTTTTGAAGTCTTTTTGGCATTTACATTTGGAATCTTTTTCTACTTAATTTTATAATATTTTATAAAATAAAAAATTATAATTTTATAATAATTATATAAGAAAATAAAGTTAGTATGATTTCTTGACTCCTCAAAGATGTGGGCATATAAAATTTATCTTAATGTGAAATTAAGTAAAATAATTGCTGTTTAATTTTAGAGCTATTCTACAAAATTCCTGGACAGAAGTCATGGATTTAATATTGAAACCCCGTTCTGGAGGTGAGAGTAAATTCATGTTAAGAAAATAAATCAGGGGCTGGCCGACTAGCTCAGCTGGTTAGAGAACAGCCTTGTAACACCAGGCCCAAGGGTTTAGTTCCCATACCAGCCAGCTGCCCCCCCAAAAAAGAAGAAAATAAATCAGTTGTGTGGCTAGGTATTCGTGGAATTGCTTTAAATAAAAAGGATATGTGCAAATTGGGCTGCTTGGTTAGCTCAGTTGGTTAGAGCTTGGTGTTTTAACACCAAGGTCAAGGGTTCAGATCCCCATATCAGCCAGCTGCAAAAAAAAAGTATGTGTGCAAATTGGGGTAATTGTTTAAGAATTTTCTTTATTTTTACAATAAAATTAAAAATATAGTTTATTTCCTTTATATAGCCACAAGTTTTATGTATATATTTGAGGTTTATAATTTATATCCTGTTCTTAGCTGTTTAGCTCATCTAATTAATTTATAAGTGAATAAATATATTAAAGAAATAAATTCGTTTCTCTTTATGCATTCACTATAAGTCTCTGAATGTATAGAAATCTAAAACATTTCACTTGTGGTTATTTTGGTAAAGCATAGTATAATGGACTATAAAAACTTGATAAAAACACCTTGAGGATTTTTAGTTTGAAGAGATCACTAAAAACTTTTTAGGAAATATCTCTAAAACCATACTGTATGAAAAAGGATTTAACTACTATTTTACAGATGTCAAAATAATTACACTCAAAATAATTACTCATTTGCAAACTTAAAAAAGATAAAATTAACTAATTTTAAGGAAAATCACCTTTTTTTCCCCCTTTTTTGGATAATTCACTTATCCAGCTGAAAGTCACGCATCAAACCTGACATGGGAAAAAAGAGAGAAGGAAGAAAGGACTATCAGCTTCTTCATCCTATGTTGAATCAGCTATGATACTGAACAGTAAATGGCTTTTACTGTTGGCCTGAGGGCAGTATCATGTTGACAAAGCCATATAGTTCTGTAAACTCTCTTCATTTTTCATCCTTTTGCTTTCTGATGGCTGTTCTCAGATGAGCAGAAGCTGTTCGTAGCACATCTGTTACACATAGTGTTTTCTAATTTTGTGTTCTCTTGAAATGTTTTAAGTTATGAAAGTTTGTCTGTTGGATAAATCTTTTAATCATAGCTTTTCTCCCCCCAGCTGAAAAGGGGTACTTGGTTAAATGCAGGGAAGAATGGGCGAAGACCAAAGACCCAGCTGCTGCCCTCAGAAAACTACCTGTCAAAAGGTGTGTGGAAGGGCAGCTGCTTCGAGGACTTTCAAAATATGGAATGAAGAATATAGTCTCTGCATTTGGCATAGTGAGTGCTATTTGTGAAGTCAGGCAATGTCTCAAGGTGGTTTAATGCTTTTTAAATTTTATCTTGAAAGATTTTACTAAATTTTGGAAGAGCAGAAGGTATATAAGGATCCTTTGGTAGTCTCTGAGAGGTGTTTTACCTGCTTGATCCTTGTTCAGACCCTGAATTGTGATGAGTAGGTGGATGCGGGCAATGTTGGCATTACTTAACTAACACTGAGGGCACGGGAAAAGCATCAATGTGGAAAATATCTCCAGTGGAAGTTTAAGTTAAGTTACATATCTAGATATTTGAGAAATTCCAAATCCATCATACAGTCATTTCTTGGTCATTCTCCATCATCAGAATGATAAACTGCTTTAGTAAGAAGGTGGGATAGTAAGCAGTCTAAATAGTTGCATTTTAGTCTGGTCTCATTGTGGTGGTTCATGAGTGGGTACATCTTGGCAGGTATAGTCTATACCATTATTTGGATATGTATAATCCAGGATACATTAAAATTTAGCCCTGAAACTTAAGTCTTAGTTACTTTTCCCCAGGTGTACAAGAAAAAAGGCAGGATTCTTGCATGAAAACTAATTATCAGTTCAGTCATTCAGGTTTTCTCCTTCTATAGAATTACAGAGGAGAAAGCACTGTTGTCTGTATAACTGATGTGTAAATTCCTTGTTTGAAGTCTCTTTGAATTAGGGTATAAATTCCACATAACAATTGATTTATTTTCATGAATATATGCATTGTGTGTACAAAATGTGAATTGCTTCAGCTGCTGATGACTGTTAATGCCCCCTTGAGGGGTCCCATCTCTAATATTTAATGCTGTGTTTTAGTCACTATTTCTATAGGTTATTAGAAAAACTAGAGATTTAAAGTATGAATTTCCTGTACTAGGATCAGCACTTAAAAAACCAAGGTGTCTGTGAATATACAGTATTCGTTATATTCAAAATATTTTTGTCTTGCCTATTTTTTTTCCTTCCCTCCAGATACCAAGAAATAATCGCTTAATGTATATTCATAGCTATCAAAGCTATGTGTGGAATAACATGGTGAGCAAGAGGATAGAAGACTATGGACTGAAACCTGTTCCAGGAGACCTGGTTCTCAAAGGAGGTAAAAAGGCAATTGTCGCTGTTATTCAAACAAACTAGGATTCAGTTATTTGACACTAGTGGCTTTAAAATCCAGCCTGGTCACTAGTTAAGAAAGAGATGGCTAGTAAGTTTGAGATGGAAGGACCGTGTAAGTTCATACTCACTACTTTGTATCTGTATGTTTAATGAAAAAATATACATCTGGTTTGAGTAAGTGCCTGACTCTTATCTTAGAGTTTGTTCAAGTCAACACCAGACTGGAGCTAACTTTACATGTGGGCCATGATCGAATGAGCATCAGTGTATACTGTGCCTGAACTGTTCCTATGACAGCGCTAATATCCCTTCTGCCGTGGAGCCCTTACTGTGTGCCAGGCCTTGCATAAAGCCCTTTACCTGCATTTGAAGCTCATAATAATACTGCTTTTCAAATGAGCTTCAGTCACTTGCCCAAGATTCCACAGCTGGAATTTTTTTAAAAACCTTTTTTTTCTTAAATATAAGAAATCTAGGATTCAGAGTCAAGTCCATATGATGAACACGTGGCATGTTCATCTGTAGGAAGGCCCCATAAATCCACTAAGGTTTTTAATTGGTTTGTTCAGAAACTTTAAGCCTCTTTTTTTCTGATTTAACATTCTTTCTTTCATGCAATATTGATTACATCCAGTGTATTTTAATGTCCCGTGTGCCACCATGTTTCATCCTCTAAATACAGGCTGGTTTTTTAGATTGTTTATTCTTGTAGCAAAATGCATCCATTTATGATAGCTTTCCAAATGGTCTTTTATAGTGTTGTTTAAGAAGGATAAAGGAGCTGATTTTAAAAAGCAGGCATTCTCCAAAAGTGAGGATGCAGTTGAGAAATAAATGTTTTTAAATTTTCCTTAAAACTCTACTTTTTCTAAATCCTTGATTTATTTCTTGGGTAAAATAGAAAAGACTGAAGGGTCTATATCTCAACTTAGTTGTGTTAAGCTGCCAAGGCCACTGAACTGGTACCAACTGACACTTCTGACTTGCTTAACTGTGTGTAATTTTAGAAGATTAAGCTCATGAAAGTATTGCCTTTTTTTCTGAATTTATTGTGCACTTGTGAATTTACAGCCACAGCCGCCTATATTGAAGAAGAAGATGTTAATAATTACTCCATCCATGATGTGGTAATGCCCTTGCCTGGTTTTGATGTTATCTACCCAAAGCATAAAAGTAAGTTTCCTGCATGGGGAAAGTAGTTAAAATGACTCTAACATAATTAAGCCACTGGCAGCCAAGAGTGCACAGAGGAAAAAAAATCAGTACTTTAAATAAAATTTTTAAACTTTGTTTCCATAAGACTTAAAAAGATACTCAGTTTTAAATATATATAAACCGTGTTTGTTTATGAAAGTCTCTTAGGAAGGGATGCATTTAGATGGATAATTTAAATTAATGAACTGCATGATAGAGATGGTATTAGTGGTAGCAGTAGTATTGTTATTGTTGCTTTATTATGTAAATTTCTGAAATTCACTAATTCATATTAAGGATGAGGAGAGTCTGGAAAGAGTCATTCAGAAAGTGGATGGATAATTCTACTTTAATATTGCTTTATTAAAACTTTTTAAGAACTATGTAAGTAAGTAATATGGTATTTAAAAATCAACAAGTACTGAAGTTTATAAAATGAAAAGTTAGAATTCTCTACTTTGATTTCCCATTTTCCAAAGCCTAAGAATTGCTTTTGTTATCTTCATGGATGCCATTTGGAGAGGAGGGGAAATTGTAACTTTTATTGTTCATGGATTCAGAAATTGAGGAAAGAAAGAAGCTCTGACTACAGGACTAATTTAGTGGGACTGAACTGGAATTTTACTCCAAGCCAGGACTGGTCTGTGGATGGTGTTTTCCTATTGAAATATCTTTTCTCTCAAAAGGCCAGAATTATTCTGTTTGTCAAAGTTATGTTCCTTGAAATTTTATGAATTAAAGGATGAGTAGAATTAATGCCCTTCTTGGATAATACCTCTTCTATAGGTTATTAGATTAACTATTTTATAATAATGCAAATACCTCTAGAAGGGTTAAATAGTCACCTGTCATTTATGTGTTGATTAATTCAACCAAACTGCTATACCCCTAATACTTACACGAGGTTGACTTCACTGAGGGGAAAGGAATTGAGGGGAAGGGGAGGATGAGTAAGGTGTATGAGGAGGTTTGTGGTCTGCCTGACCTGGGCAGGGATCAGGGAGAGTAGCAGTCCAAACCCAAAGGTCTCACAACCAAGGAAGCTGATGGTAGAACTCTCAGGCTGAGACGGGAGGCCCGAGAACAGGTGCAAGTCCCGGGTTCCCAAGTCAGAGAACCTGGAGTTATGACGTCCAAGGGCAGGAGAAGGGCATCCTGGCTCTGGGAGAGAGGGAGAAAATGTGTCCTTCGTCTACATTTTTGTTCCGTCCAGTTTCTCAGCTGATTGGATGGTGCTCACCCACATTGAGGGCAGATCTTCCCCTCTCATTACACCACCTCCCACACCAGTCTCCTCAAGAAACACCCTCACAGACACACCCGGGGCAGCCAGTCATTCTCATCCAAACCAAAACCACCTGGTTTCCCTTTCAGCAGAAGAGGGACTGGCTCAGTGCCTGCTGAAGCACTGAGAATAATTAATGCTTTACCAGCTCTCTGAGTATCCCTTAATCTGGTCAAGTTGACAACCAAAGTCAATCATCACAAGAAAGAAAAAGCAAACGTTGTTTTCCTCTTCTCATACCTCTCAGGATCAGACTAGTACCAATTAGAACATAAATTCAGCAAAGCCTTTACAGAGCCATTCATGAGAACCTTGTAGCCAAGATGGGACTCGTAGACTGAGTGGGTGAAATTTCAGGCATTTGGTACATAACATATGCACCCCTAGCATCCAACAGTGCGTGATTTAGGGATCCCTGATGTCCTTTGTGTGTAGTGAGGGAGTCTTTCCTTGACCCTTTTCTGCCCAACATTTTTTGTGAATAACTTGAATAAAGAAATCTGCTTATCATATTTGCAAATAGTACAGAATAAAATAGTTAATCTTAATTATATGAAAATAAATATTAAGAACTACATGCTTTCTGAAGCATGTAACAAGGTCTAAAATAAATTCTCACATTCATGCTCAGTGATGAAATGTACAGATGGAAAAGGCCCAGTTTGATAGTAGTCTGTGTTAAAAAGTACATGGACTTGTTATTGTACATAAGCCTGTTACTCTGGGACAGGCAACAGGTTGGTGGGGAATACAGACATGTCAAAGGAAGGACAGTTGAGGGGACCATTGTTTGGTCTACAGAAGATATGACTTAAAAGTCCAGTACTTACAAGTACATGGAGAAGAGGACAGTTATTCTTCTGTCTTTCAAATCAATCAACAGAAGTTACAAGAAAACAATTTCAGCTTAGAAAAGGAAGAACTTTCTGATAATTGTATGCCTCACAAAGTAGTTCCTCATAAATGACAACATGCAAGCAAAGGCTAGAAAACTGTATTTCTTAAGTGTTATAAAAAAGATTCTACATCAGGTGCGAGGGTGAGCCAGATGGTTTTCCAGGGTCTCTTTTTATACGTTTATTTATAACTACCTCTTCCAGAGAGAGTGTGAAGCCTCTGTGTATAGTCTCTTCCAACTATGAGCACATGTAACTGGTAGTTTAGCAACTGTGGATGAAATGGCCTTTCATAGTTAGCTTGGGTACAGCACAGGTACTGTGGCTGGGTGCAAAGAAAACTTACAAGTTGGCCAAATCAAAGCTGGAGACATTCTCTAGTCCTTGTTATATCACTAAATTTTGATTCCAAATAATGGACTTCAGATTACAAATTAGGGAAATAATTTTGCTAGGGCAGTCTAACTGAATTTATATGTTACTCTGCAAGGGTACTTCAATAAGTTTGTGGAAAAATGGAATTAAAAGATAATACAAATCTTTCCATGAGCTTTTTGAAGTACCCTTGTATTTGTAGTGTAGCTCAAGGTAACTTGCTGACAGGCTCCATTCCAACTAACTTTTTGTATTTTATTTTAGTTAGTGAAGCCTACAGGGAAATGCTCACAGCAGACAATCTTGATATTGACAACATGAGACACAAAATTCGAGATTATTCCTTATCAGGGGCCTACCGAAAGATTATTATTCGTCCTCAAAATGTCAGCTGGTGAGTAGTAGTCTGGAATGAAATAGAACTGAATTGACATGTAAGGTTTTAGACTTTTGCTTCACATATGTATTTTTCAGTGCTTAAAACCTAGCATATGTGTTTCATAAGTGTTAATTATTATTGTTAATATTACTATTATTACTTGGTATTTTTTGAATCATCAAGAAATAAGCTGTTTTGAATGTAAGCATATAGTGAAAATGACTTCGTTTATATATTTACACACACACACACACACACACACACACACACACACACACACACACCTTTATTTTTTTGGTGGCTGGCCAGTAAGGGGACCCAAACTCTTGACTTTGGTGTTATCAGCACTGTGCTCCCCCAAGTTAGCTAACTGGTTAGCCTACTTTGTGTACATTTTGTTAGCATCACTGAATTATTAAAGAAATGTGTAGAGAAAGAAGTTTTACTATAAAACCAAGATTTTCTTACAGAGCTACTCCTGAGCAAGTTACCTAACTCAGTTAGCTGTGAGTTCCAGACTGATCTGTTTGTTTTAATATGTTTCTAGAGAGAAAGAGATACTTGTATTAATTAATTTTAAAATGCTTTCAGAGGAGAGAGCAGAACTGAGGCCGCCAGAGGTGGGGGAACGAGGGGGAGGGTTAGTAAGGAATTGATAAAGGGCCACAAAAATGATTAGATTATATAATGTTGAACACTAATTATCCTGATTTGGGCATCACATTTTGCACACAGGTATTGATACTCACTGCCGTACCCCGCAGATACATACAATCAATTATGTTTTTATCTAAATAAATAAATAAAATGCTTTAGTGCTGGCAGTTTAGGGCTTAGCTCAGTTGATTAGAGCATGGTGTTGATGACACCAAGGTCAAAGGTTTGTATCCCAGTATCAGCCAGCCGCAAAAATAAAATGCTTTAGGGCCGGCCCGGTGGCGCACTGGAGAGTGCGCCGCTTGGGAGTGCGGCGGCACTCCCGCCGAGGGTTCGGATCCCATGTGGAGACCGGTTCCCGCTCACTGGCTGAGCGCGGTGCGGGTGCAACACCAAGGGTTGTGATCCCATTGCCGGTCCCCGGTACGGCCGCGACACCGAGGGTCGCGATCCCGTTACCGGTCAGTAAAAAAGACAAAAAGGAAAAATAAATAAATAAATAAAAAAATAAAAATAAAATGCTTTAATACCTAGTATTCTCTAAAACTTTATTTGATAATTTAAAAATGAAATCCTGAGCATTGCCAAGAAATTCTTTCTTTCCCTCTCTCCCTTTCTTCTTCTCTCTCTTCCTTTCTCTTCTCTGGATTGTGGGCAAGAGGGGGCAGACTTTGTCTTTCCCACTCCAAAGAGCAGTTTCTCATAGTAACAAAGTATAGTTGGTAACCACTCTGGAGAAATTGTAAATGCCATGATTAATTCGTATGTCTTTTACTTGGGCTGGTATCATCTGTCATCTTGCTATACATTAATATAAAGGCAATACCTGTGTATAAAATCTGACCTCTTTCTGTTATTGAAGAGTCCTACCTATAATTATTTACAATAAACCTATGTGTTTTTCTTGCTGAACAAGTGGTGATGCATGACTTACTACTTTTTATGAAAGTTCACATTCATACTGATCTTTATTTACGTGTTTTGAAGGGAAGTCGTCGCATATGATGATCCTAAAATTCCACTTTTCAACACAGATTTGGACAACCTAGAAGGGAAACCCCCACCAGTTTTTGTTTCTGGTAAGTTTACTCAGTCATCAGCTCTGTGTCAACTTTGAAATGTTTCCCCATACAAAAACATAAATTAAAAACAAAACCAAAACTGTTCTTAATCATACCACCACCCACCCACTCTGTGATTTCTGTTTTGTGTTTTGTCACCTTAGTTTTATGGTTATAGCTGGAGGTCAGTAACTAAAACAGTAAGTCCTACAGAAAATGAGTGAATGTTATAGATGGTTGTAATATTAGGTGATTATTTCCTCCCCATTCCCCACAGAGAGTTAACAAAGGTGAGTGAAAATTCAGGAACAGGGTCTAAAATATTAAACTTGCATTCTCATTGTCAAGTTCTTGTTACCACTCCTTTTTCTCTCCTTCCTCCCATGTCCTAATTTTTTTAATTTAGTTTTTTTTTTTTATTATTTTGCTTGCATTTTTCTCTTGTGCTTTTCTGTCTGCCCTTTTTTATGAAGGTTCCCAGGTAGAATTACCATAACCATTTGGCTGGTTCCTACACCCTCAGATCTCTTAGTTCCATGGTCTCATTCTCTGAGGCCCCAGGGGAAGTGGAAGCCTAAGGAAAGAGCGCAGTTCTTTGTATTTGTGTAGATATTATATGACTCTCTCCAGTCTGTCTGCAGCTGCCTTCATTTTCTGACTGTTCTCTTCTTTCTTGCCTGGCAGAAGGCAAATACAGGGCTCTGAAAATGGATTTTTCTCTTCCTCCTTCCACATATGCTACCATGGCCATTCGAGAAGTGCTAAAGATGGATACCAGCATCAAGAACCAGACCCAGCTGAATACAACCTGGCTCCGCTGAGCAGTACCTTGTCCACAGATTAGAAAGTGCACACAAGTGTTTGCTTCTCAGCTTTCTGTTCATTTTCCTCTTAGTACAGGCAGACCCAGATGTGGATTTTGCATCTTTGTAGTAAATGATTATTTGTATTTTTTTACATTTTTATTAGCTTCCAGAAATAATTTGCAATATTTCTACACTTAACACAAATCCTGAGGATCCTAATTTTAGCTCGGAGAATGTAAATTGGTCTGAATATACTTCAGGTGCTTAAATCATGGTAAAATGTCAGCTTTACCAGCTTTATGACAGTAAAAAAGGACTTTGGTTTTAAGTAGAGTTTTAGGTTTTGCTACATTTTTGAAGGACAACAGGAATTTTTAACACATCCATGAATGGAGGACAGAACAATGCATTTTAAGAACAAACACAACACAAATCTTGATTATAGATAAGTAGTTTGAGAGCCCTACCTGTGAATATAAGTATAATACTCATGCCGATTTAAATGCTAATAAAACGTCTAGGAGTTTATAAACACAAAAGTGATTGTCATTATCCAGCTCATGTACCAGATTCAGGTAAGCATTATAGACTTTTTAGTTGCAGTGGCTTTTACATTTATATTATCAATGCCTTGCTGGAGAGTTGCATTGATAAGGCTTTTTTTCTTGATGTAAACATGTGCAGCGGTTTTTATTAGTAAAGGTCTAATTTTTAATCTAGGTGCCTTTTATGTTCAGAACGCTTTCCACTGGCCTCGTATTTGCTTAAAAATAAATAATGGCAGAGAAGAAAACTTTAACAATTTACAAGGGCTTCTATCAGCAGTGTTTACTTTTTGTCACCAACAGCTTAGATATGTTCTTTTCTGTCATTACATAAAACTTTGGTGGGAAAGGATAAATTTGCCTTTCCGAAGTTGTGTAATGTAATTGTACGAATTTTTATTTTCTATCATTTCTAGAACCAAATGTAATAAATACTTTTTAAAACTCCTTTCTACTGGTTATGTAAATACATCAAATAAATGTCTAAAACTGGATGCAAATGAGAATCTTGGCAAGGAACTAAGTAAATGAAGGAACCTCAGAAATGGCATTGACACAAAGCTGTGTCATGATCAGGTGTGAGATTTGAGAATAGTATGATATTGCATCATATGGTGTGACTGATTGTGTCAGACTGGACCTGAGGTTATCCTTACAGTGGTCTCACTCACTCGCCTTCCAGTGTGCTTTCTAGAGCAGAAAAGAAAGGAATGGAGAAGTGCTATCATACCAGCAACATCACACCATGGGAGTGTGAATGACCTTTGTCCTGTGTCTGGCAGTGCAAACAAGATTGAAAACTGCTGGCTAGTTTCTAAAGAACCTTTTGTCCTACAAAAGCCAAATTTATTAGATGTATAGTGGTCCTGTCTGTACTTCCCAGTAATAGTACTTCTCCATAATCAGACTGGTTAATAAAATTTCATTAATTTATTAATTAATTGATTAGTGAACATTTATGAATGAGACTTAAGTCTTTCTATTGTAAATGCATTTAGCAGTTCTGCATTTATAAATTTACATTCCAAAACAACAAATGTGAGGCTAAGCTTACGTTTTCTTCATCTGGGAAATACTTAAGGCTCCATGTGATGAATTACTTTTCCTGGTTGCATTAGCCAACTACCAATGTGTACATGTTTCTTTTTTCTTTTTTTTTTTCTTTTTTCCTTTTTTCGTGTCCGGCAACGGACCACAACCCTCAGTGTTGCGCCCGTACCGGACTGGGACCGGCAACGGGATCGCAACCCTCGGCGCTGCGCCCGCCCCTCACTCAGCCAGTGAGCGGGAACCGGTCTGCACATGGGATCCGAACCCTCGGCGGGAGCGCCACCGTGCTCCCAAGCGGCACACTGTAGCAGTGCGCCACCGGGCCGGCCCTACATGTTTCTTTCTTAGACACCAGTTGAAGAAGAATGATTCAAAGCAGATTCTTTTAGCTGTTTTGAGTCTCAGGGACATACTGTAACTCTAGAGACTTAGCACAGAAGTCAGAACATTTTTTGTTGTTGTTAACAAAAGGAAGAGGTTTCTCTATGGCAAATTTACAAAGCCTGGAAGCAACCTTATCCTTGACATAAAAGTATCATTGTTCCGGGCCGGCCCGGTGGTGCACTGCTACAGTGCGCCGCTTGGGAAGCGCAGTGGCGCTCCCGCCGAGGGTTCGGATCCCACATACAGACCGGTTCCCGCTCACTGGCTGAGCGAGGTGTGGGCGCAACACCGAGGGTTGCGATCCCGTTGCCGGTCCCGGTCCGGTACGGGCGCGACACTGAGGGTTGCGATCCGTTGCCGGACACGAAAAAAGACAAAAAGGAAAAAAAAAAAAAGTATCATTGTTCCTAATTTTTTGCCTAAAAGAAATAATAAAAGACTATAAGATCATTATTTTTTTATTTTAATGTGAAACTAGCATAATTTCCTAATAGAAAATAAGCTAAATAATCAAGATCTACCATCAAATGTTTTATTCGTGGTTTCATGTTGTAGGTAATAACTAGACTGCTATTATACTAATAAAAAAATTCCTGGTTGATTCCTGAATCAACCAAAAAATTAGTAGCAGCTGCAGTAGTTCGTTAGTACTTGAAACTACCAGTTGCTCCAGGCAGTACAAATTAGTACAAAGTGGTATTTGTACTGGGATGCATTTTGTGGCCAATTTGCACTAAAAAATGTGTGTATGTATACAAAATAGAATATATAAGGGTTTTAAGAGCTACCCGTGTGTACTAATGTGTATGTGCTTTTTTGAAACATAAAAATAGACTAGGAGAGTGTACCACGTAGCTTTTTGTTTCAGACCCATGAAGAAGTGAAAGCACAATGAAAAATCTGCAAAGCTGACCATGGCCAGGTTCTGACCTTCATAAACTGAGAAGAGTTTGCTTGCTTAGCAAAGAATAATTTTAAAGCTTTTTGTTCAGTGAAATCTGCTTTCCCACTTTGTGGTGTACATTCCTGCAGGATAGAACTTCTGAATTATAGGTCATGAATACTTGGGAAAATCTGAGGGAAAAATGTAAACCCTGTCTCCAGGGGAAGGAAAGGGGTAGTGTGTGTGTGTGTGTGTGTGTATGTACACAGAATTTTTATAGAATTTTAGGTGGTTCAATATAATAGGGCCCCCTACTCTGGATACATATTTTTCAAACTTTAATGGCAATCTTCTTAAATTGCAGAATGTATTTCAAGAAGTTCAGGTAGAATCTGCAGTACTGCATTTCTAATCAGCCTCCAGAAGGTACATGTGCTGCTGATGTGCACACACTTGAAGTAGCCAGGTTCTAGACCTGTATTGGCCGACACAACGCAGCTGCCACTAGCCACATGTGGTTAATTAAATGTAAGGTAACTAAAATAAAATTTTAAATTCAGCTCCTCTGTCACAGTAGCCATATTTCAACTGCTCCATAGCTGTATGTGTGGCTAGTGGCTCTGTATTGGACAGCACTGCCTAGTTAACAAATCAGTCACCCTGAGATACAGAGGAGAGTTCACTTTGATCAGGTGTGACACCCAGTGATGCTAATTATTAAATGAATACATGTGCAATATCTGCAAGTAATTAGATCCAGGGCTCACACTGATGATTTGAGAATTCACACTTGAAATAGATAACTCTCTAGGAGTCCTCCTTAAACTCATTTCCATGCTGCTTTTCTGGCTTTTTCCAAGATCACCTACAATCCTTTTTTCTTTCCACCCTTGCTTTCATCTAGATGCCCTTGTCCAAAGGTTTAGTCAAACCAGTCTTAAAGTTCTGTGGCCTTATTCCATATAGAAAATTTACTTCCCCGAAATGTCTTAACTGCTGAAATTAAAAACTTCTTGGCTGTAGCTTCTTATGAAAACAGCAGTTGCAAAAAGCAAGAATGGTTAGTGAGTCCATATTATTTTGTTGTCCTGCAGTAGTACAATGTTGACTTTGTGTTAAAGCTCTTCCACCTGTGCTAGAGACTCCTGGAATGTGACCGGTATGTAGAAGAGATGGCACCTGGGAACTATAATGAGAGAACATATTCAAAGTCCTTTCCTCCTAATACATGATTACTGTACTCTCTACTTAACTGCAGAATGTATTTCAGGAAGTCCAGGTAAGATCTGAAATACTGCATCTCCTCAAAAAACAATACATGTTTTCCTAGAGCACCTCTGTCCAACAGAAATAAAATGTGAGAAATAATTGAAAATTTTCTATCAGCCACATTAACTAAAAAGAAACAGGTGAAACCAATTTTAATGTATTTTATTTAAACCACTACATCCAAAAGAACATTTCCATTTTTGATTAATATACAAAGTAAATATTTCACATTTTTTTCTATTAAGTCCTCAAAATCCAATGTGTATTTTACACTTCCAGTACATCTCAGTTTGAACTAGCCATATTCCCAGTGCTCAATAGCCGCATGTGGCCAATGGCTACCATATTGGACAGTGCAATTCTAGAAAGACCACTTGTTCTTTGTTGCCTGTCACCAGTGTAATGGTGAATTTGTCTTGGGTATTAAGGTTTAATTTGTAAAACTGGAATGTGTAGGTTGGAAGTAGGGCTTAGTCAAATGTGATTTTGAAATGCTTAGTGGATTATTAGGTTTTATGGTGATGGGGAGTAAATATTTTTGCCATGGGAGCACATAACAAACATGATAACAGATACTGAAATATTTCAGGGTTCTTGAAATTTTTCTTAAGCAGTTCAGATGACACCCTGCAATTTTCTCTCTTCTATAAATAATGCAAAGCTAATCCTTAGTGCAGCCTCTATTTAGATTTTAAATTTCAAATTCATGGAATATAAATTGAGGTTTGGGAGATAAGAATAAGGGTAGAGCTAGAAGTAAATCACATGAATGGTTAGCACATAAAGGTGAGAACCTAGGTTATACAGGATGGTAAGGTGGTTGAGGCAGGGCTAAAGTTTTGGTTATATTTGGTTTTGTTTTTATTAATGATAGCTTCATTGAGATATAATTCACATACCATACAATTCACTCAAAGCGTATGTGTGGCTAGTGGCTCTGTATTGGACAAGGTTTTTAGTATATTTGGAGTTGTGCAACCATTATCACAATTTTACCACATTTTTATTACCCCAATAAGAAACCCCATACCCATCAGCAGTCACTTTGAATCTCACCCCAGTCCTGGGCAACCACTGTTTTCTTGGCGAGAACTACTTTCAATCTCTATAGATTTGTCTATTCTAGTCATTTGATAGAAATGAAATTGTACAATATGGTCTTTTGTGACTGACTGCTTTCACTTAGCATAATGTTTTCAAGTTTCATACATGTTGTGGCATGTATCAGTACTTCACTCCTTTTTATGGGCAAATATTTCATGTACAAATATGCCACATTTTATTTATCCATCAATTGATGGACATTTGGGTATATTGTTATAACCAATGCTGCTATAAACATTTTTGTACAAGTTTTCGTATGGTCATAAGTTTTTATTTCTCTTAGGTATATAGCTAGGAGCGGAATTGCTGAGTCATATGGTAACTCTGTGTTTAATGTTTGAGAAACTGCCAGACTGTTTTCCAAAAGGCTGTACCATTTTACATTTGCACGAGGAGTGTATGAGAGTTCCAACTTTTTCACATCTTCCCCAACACTTGTTATCTGTCTGTTTTATGATAGCCATCCTAGCAGGTATTAGGTGGTATCTCACTGTGGTTTTGATTTGCATGTCCCTAATGACTAATTACATTGAACGTTTTTTTGTATGCTTATTGGCCATTTGTCTGTGTTCTTTGAAGAAATGTTTGTTGAGATCCTTTGCCCATTTTGTGGGGTTGTCTTTACGTTGTTGAGTTCTTAGAGTTTTTTATATATTCTTGATACAAGTCCCTTATCAGATATATGATTGGTAGATATTTTCACCCATTTCATGGGTTGTCTTCACTTTCTTGAGGATTGAGTTTTAAAGGCTACAGGA